TTTCAAATGCTCATTGAAAGTGTACTGAGTATAATGGGTTAGTAAGAAGAAAGAAAAAGTTCCAAACCATGCGATAATTCCCCATAAATGAGATTAGAAAAAACTATCATGTTTCTTTATTTCATTTAAATAACAATTGTTTTCAAATAAAAATTACTTCAAAATTTGTTTAAAGCAGAATGCCACTAGATTCATTATAACTTAATGAAAATGAAAAAGTGAAATATTTTCATTTGAAAATAGAAAGTAATTTACAAATATTTTTTTGCAAAGCCACTTCATACCATGTAAAATACCATATAAATGTAAAAATATGCACAAAAAAACTCCTTACTGCATTAGTGACACAGTAGAAATATAATGATAAATACTGCAAAATGATAATCAGTCACTCATTGCAGGTAACATGTAAATTATTACTTGAATTGTAAATAGTGCTTTAACTTTTTTTTAAAAATTTAGTACATTTTTCTTCAGGTTGATTTTCTTGATTTTTTTATCATCTGGAGGCATACAGCTTAAAGGCATTTACAGAAACAAAATACATGTATCAATATTATCAATATGTAACAGGTGGGGAGGGGAAGAAATTTAGATATTATTGTCATAATTATAGTGATTTCTTTTGCTTTTATTATTGACTGGGGAATGCTTGTATGTAGTCTATGTTTAATGAGTGTCTATCCGCCTGTTAAGGCACAAAATGCAGCTTTTTGTTGAGTAGGGACCTGGGTATGTCACCAGTCATACCCTTAAAGAGTTAATTTTGAAGCACAAAGTGGTGGTAATTTACTTCTGTGCAATTTCCACGGAGAATAAGCCAAAGATATGAATTTTGAGTCAAAAGTAGGTCACTGTACGGCGGTCAATGAGAACTAATGCGGATGTCTCTTTATAGATTAAACCCTTTACCTGATGAATTAATGCAAGGTTTGAAATTTGAAAAGTCTGATTAAACTTCAGGGATTTTAATGTCAAAATACAAAAAATAGCTTTAAACAGTATAAAGCCTGTGTACAAGCTTGTCGCACAGTGTGATTTAAGAGTAATCATTTGGACTGCGTAAGGTCAGGGGTTCAAGTATTAACAACAATCTAGGTAGAATATTTATTTACAAGGTACTCAAATAGTTTAGAGGTTCAAGTATTAACAACCACCTAGGTAGAATATTTATTTTGTAAGCTAGCCGGATAGTTCCTATTATTAAACAAGAACATATTATTTATAATTTACAGCCAGTGATAAAGATGGTGTCAAGTACAAGGATGAAGTTGAAGCAGATACGGCATCGGGGTCCGGAGCTGCAGAAGACAAAAGCGAAAAAAAGCTAAGACTTCTGAAACAGACAACATCAAACCAATCCAAAAGTAATGTATACTGACTTTATTTCATATTATTTTGTGTACCGTATTTTCTCTTGGGGCATGTGTTTAGCATTATTAAGTATAAAAAAGTTGTTACATTGTCAAAATGAAAAGAAATTATGTTTACTGTTTTTGTGTTAGTTTCTGGCTGGATCATATATTAAAAGCACCAGCTCTGGTAAATTTTGTGATAATTGTCTTGAATATATAACCTGATGAATTAATGCAAGGTTTGAAATTTGAAAAGTCTGATTAAATTTCAGGGATTTTAATATCAAAATACAAAAGAAAGTAGCTTCCAACAGTGCAAGCTTGTCGAACAGTGTGATTTAAGAGTAATCATTTGGACTGCGGAAGGTCAGGGGTTCAAGTATTAACTACAATCTAGGTAGAATATTTATTTACAAGCTAGTCAAATAGTTCAAAGGTTCGAGTATCAACAACCACCTAGGTAGAATATTTATTTACAAGCTAGTCAAATAGTTTAGAGGTTCAAGTATTAACAACCACCTAGGTAGAATATTTATTTTGTAAGCTAGCCGGATTGTTCGTTGACATGAAAATAAACAAGAACATATTATTTATAATTTACAGTCAGTGATAAAGATGGTGTCAAGTACAAGGATGAAGTTGGAGCAGATACGGCATCGGGGGCCGGAGCTTCAGAAGACAAAAGCGAAAAAAAGCTAAGACTTCTGGAACAGACAACATCAAACCAATCCACAAGTAATGTATACTGACTTTATTTCATATTATTTTGTGTACCGTATTTTCTCTAAAAACTCCATTGGGGCATGTGTTTAGCATTATTAAGTATAAAAAAAAGTTGTAACATTGTCAAAATGAAAAGAAATTATGTTTACTGTTTTTGTGTTAGTTTCTGACTGGATCATATATTAAAAGCACCAGCAGTGGTAAATTTTGTGATAATTGCCTTGAAAATATAATAAACCCCTATCATCTTAGTAACTCATTTTTTTTTCTTTGGGGCATTTATTGGAGAACATATAGTATAAATACATTTGAAGTGAATTGATATCACTTATGGTGGGATAAATTATTTACACAACAAGTTTTTACTTCTTATGATATCTTTTGAGTAACCTTTGGTGACAGGCCAATATATTTCCTGTATTGGACACTGTAGTATCCAATGAATCCTACATTGGACAGTTTATAGTGTATGACATTTTTCTTGTCCAAAGATAAAATCGTGGTAGTATCCAGAAAAAGACACCAACAACAACAAAAAAGTTAACATAAAAAATGCTCAGTTTGAGAGGTCATAATATTGTATTCCATTATGCTATTGATTCTGGGGTTTGAAGATAGGTACAGTGTCTGTAGCCAAGAACATTTTAGTAAATGAATTATTTGTTTGCCATTTGTGATTTGTCTGATGGATTAATATGCTGTGAATGAATTATAACTTTTTTAAACTTTATTTCTGTTTAAAAATGAAATAGGCAGATATTTAGATAATGGAAAATTCTACATCTAGGACATTTTATATTTTGAATATAAAAATTGTCATATCGTGTAGATCAGTATTCCCTGTTAACACCAGTATTTTTTTTAAATTGCCTGCTATTGCAAATTTACTGCTGACTACTTTGGCCAACCATGATAAATAAAAATGCTTCAAATGCATTTTCTGCTGACTATTTTCAATGGATACTATGAAATTTTCACAGGACACTCTAAAACTTTCACTGGATACTCTAAAAAAATTTGCTCAAGCTACTTTAAAAATTTACAGAGTGCACTAATAAATAATTGAACTTTTATTTAAGCTGAATTGTTGATGGAATGTATGAAGAAATCTATGAACATCAGTGATGAACCGAAGCCAGAGAGTGTCCTAGATGAAGTCAGTTTTGAAGGCATTGCTAGATATATTAAAAGTGACAAGTGCAAGAATATTGTTACCATGGCTGGTGCAGGAATATCAACATGTATGTCAGAGAAGTATTCACTTTTAAAAATGGCTTTAGCTTTAATTTACTCATGTTAGTTCAGTGAGGAACAAAGTTTTTTTTGTAACATAAGGTGATCTATATATTCTACTCTAACCTTAATTTGAAAGTTTTTGTTTATGTCACAAAATCTGGCTTAAACACAATGTGATTTTTAAAACATCAAAGGGATATTTATGTATAAGCAAGATCTTAATTGACATCTTTCTGTAAACAAATTAGCAGATATTGATAAAACTTGACAAGAATTATCTTTGGTGAAACTGTTAGAAAACTCGAATCGTTTTTACACTCGGGCAACTTGGCAATTTAGGGCCATCATGACCCTCTTGTTTATATTTAATCTGATAATACTTTGCAAATTGATGTTCAGAAGAAAGTAATATCAAATGAAATGAGGTATTAAAGTTGGGGGGATTAAACAAGGGATTGATGTAAGAATTTTATTTTTTCTATTGAAAAACAAATATACTTTAATATAAAATCCATTTTGTAGGCAAGTGCATGTAAATACTATTTTGTATTTTTCTTACAGCTGCTGGAATTCCTGACTTTAGATCACCATCACCAGGAAGTAGATTATATAACAACCTTCAGAAATATAATCTACCACATCCTAAGGCAATGTTTAGTATAGGGGTTTTCCATGTAAGTTTTCTAAGGTTAAACTTGGTCTGTGTTTGATAAATTGTGCTTCCCATGTAAGTTTTCAAAGATTTAACTTGATCTGTGTTTGATAAATGGTGTTTTCCATGTAAGTTTTCAAAGATGTAACTAAGTCTGTGATTGATAAATGGTGTTTCCCATGTAAGTTTTCAAAAATGTAACTTGGTCTGTGTTTGATAAATGATGTATTCACATGTCAATTTTCAAAGATAGATGTAACTTTAATAGTCTGTGTTTGATAAATGGTGTTTTCCATGTAAGTTTTCTAAGGTTAAACTTGGCCTGTGTTTGATAAATTGTGCTTCCCATGTAAGTTTTCAAAGTTTTAACTTGGTCTGTGTTTGATAAATTGTGTTTTCCATGTAAGTTTTCAAAGATGTAGCTTAGTCTGTGTTTGATAAATGGTATTTCCAATGCAAGTTTTCAAAGATGTAACTTAGTCTGTGTTTGATAAATGATGTATTCACATGTCAATTTTCAAAGATAGATGTAACTTTAATAGTCTGTGTTTGATAAATGGTGTTTCCCATGTAAGTTTTCATAGATTTAACTTGGTCTGTGTTTGATAAATGTTATTTTCCATGTAAGTTCACAAAAGGTTAAACTTAGTCCGTCTTTGACATTGCGATTTTTGACATAATTATAATTCAAAAAGGTTAAAAATACAATAGACTTTCATAGGACTGATGCAAGAAAATATATTTTAGATATAGTTATTTAAATCATAACTTTCAAGGGGAATGAAAACTTTGATAAGAAAATTTTCATTAATCTAAATACAAAAATCAGACAGATCGAATATCACACACATTTTAAAATAAATAAATAAAACATTACATGACACTGAAATCCAAAACTGCTGCTAGGGTTAAACAATAAGTACTTGACAAACAGTGATTTGTTTTTAATATATTGATATATGATTTGTTTTAACAGAATGGTATAAACTTCCTGTATAGTGAATGTATTATTCTAAAATTATATTTCAATTGTGTTTTAAGTACATTTTTCCTCATATGACACTGGTTCTAGTTGAACCAGGAAGTGGACTCGAAAATGGTTCAAATAAGTTCTAAATATTAGCAAGATTCAAGCTTGTTACGGTTGAGTGCACACCTACCTTCATAACTACAGGTTCAACCTCTGACATCATTATCAAGGAATCATTTCTTTTTTTATCAGCAGTCTAGAGTCTGAATACATTACTTTGCAAGCCGGCGGTTGTTACATCAAATCCCAGGCACGACAAGGTCTTTGATGCATTTGTATCTCTTAGTTTCATTATAAATATGTTAGTAAAAAGCTAAACTCAATATGTTTTAATTAATTAGAGATGACAAACCATGGTAAGCATAAAATAACACTTGAAATCGTATTTGTGTTGCAGGAAAATCCAGAACCATTTTTCACGTTGTGCAAAGACCTATTTCCAGAAACGTACAGGGTAAAAATGCATAATTAAATATATTTGCTTATAAGTCATAACTAATTTAATAATGTCAATAACTTAATTAACATCTTAAAAGGCTGTATTGTGACATGTTTTGTTCTTTTGTTTAAAGATCCTGTAACATTTCATGTACGTTTAAAAGGAGGGAAAAAAGTTTTGTATGTGTTAAAGATGGTCTTTAAATGAATAACAAAACAATTCCAAACGGTCAGAATGTAATTATTGGCATAGTCATCCTCGGAAAAAACCGACTGTATCACTAAGTGTATGTTACATCCTTATATGTAAATTAATGGAGGTCATGTGACACACAACTTGTAATTTGCAAGTGTATGAACAATAATTATTATTTTAATTTGCAGCCGACACCTTGTCATTACTTTATCAAGCTTCTAGAGAAGAAGAACAAGCTGATGAGACATTTTACACAGGTATTTTATCATCATGTTTCTCTATTCTATACTTACTCTACACATCCAATCTCTGCATTTGAATGAACCATGTGACTGTCCTATATTTTCTAATTTTGGACACTGTAGTATCTAGTATATTTATCCTTTATTCGATAATTTAGTTTGCCTGACTTTTGCCATGTAAAGATTACCAGTAAAGCCAATAATGACAAAATAATCTGAAAGATGTCTAAGCATCACTATGTGTCATCTTTTATCAGAATATATTATTAATTCTAACACACTTCACACTGATTCCCTATTAAGGTATTACCATCCTAATGCATTCCCTCCGCTTTGAAGAGTATTCAAATAGGCTAAAACTACTGTTAACTACATTAAAAATGAGGGACGTGGGTTCAATCCCCAGAAGGGTCACTATTTTCTCTCTCTTTTTTTCTTTTAACATTATTTATGTATCTCTCATGTCCCATTTGGAAAGAAAAAGTGTTTAATTTTGATTTTTTAATTTATATAGGCATTTTACTTTTACCGTCTAGTTCTGATTTTATTAAACTTTGAAAATATCAGGTACCATTTTTATTACTAGATTTAGCATATACTTCTTTAAAATGTAGGGAAACTTTGAAAACAGGCACTCGTTTGGGTAAATTTTAAGGATTTTTTAAATCAGGCTCCCTAAAAAGGAAAATGGTCAGACACGTGGTAAAAATGGGTGGGTAGGGTAACATTTTTATACAGATTTAATAAATTTTAAGTAGAAACCATAATTTTGCTTATGTGGATTGTTAGCTGAATTTGTTTCTTACCAAAAATTAATGGGAAAACATTTTTCATTAGAATTTTATTGCAGATTATTTAAAGGTTCCTCATTTCTAAAAAAGAAAGGGCCCTCATAACATGCTAGCTTGAGTTCAGAAAAGTAACCATAACTTGATTTCCGTTTGGTAAACTTTGTTTAAATTTTGCATACAGGTGTACTTTAAGGTATTTATCTGACCTATGATGTCAATTTTTTAGTTCCTTATAGTGCCCATTAGGGTGGAAATACCTTAAACAGGTAGGGCAATCAAGTGCATTATATATATGCACTGCAAAGAAGGAATGCTTACAAGTCATATGACATCAGATATGAAGTCAGTAAGTCAAATCACATCAGAAAAAAATACTTCTACGCTTGATGTAGTTCATTGTATTTTTATCAATTATCTTGATATTAATTTTTCTTGTATTATAGTATACTATAGTAATAATGCATGGTTTATTGTTTAACCCTTTCACTGCCATAGGGACGGCTTAAGCCGTCCCTGTTATTTTCGGCGTATTTGCCATATGGACGGCTTTAGCCGTTTCTATAATATTGATAGTAATAACAATAAATTAATAATAATAATAAAAAAATGATAACAAATATAAAGAAAATTATACGATCAACAATAATTATTATTATACTAACAGATTTGGAAACATATATAATTATTATAATACTAATAACAAATAATAATAATTATATTAATTATTAATATAGTAATTTCTTAGAAAATCCTCTGGCAAATAAGTGAACAATAAAACAATAACCCTCTGGCAGCGAAAGGGTTAAATGCGTTTGGTTCAAACGCTTTGTAAATAATCACTAATGCCGATCAGCCTTCGTGATTATATTACTACGCATTAAGCTGAAACCGTGCATTATTCTACAACAATGTACTCAGAAAAGATGTATATTTTTCTAAGTCATACATTTTGTACTTTGCGTATTCTCAAAATAATTAAAATATACATAAAGAATCACCTTGTACAATATTGGTATATATATATAGCATTAAGAAATTATATAAGACTTGTCGGTCGGCTTGTGTAGTATGTTTTCTTCAGCAGTTTACCGGTCCAAGTTTATTCCCATATAAAGTTCAACATCATTAGAAAAGTATTGATGTCAAATGTAATTGATTCACTCAGAATCATGTGACACACCAGGAAGAGTAAGGTTCAATGTAGACTGTAAAAAATTGAATGAGATATTTCAGATAAGTGATAAGTGACACAAGGAAATTTTATATAGAACCTGAAACAATTTGAAGAATAGATTAATTTGACCTTTTTTCATATAAGGATATTCTCTATTTATCTGTATTGATTTAAATGTTAAATGAATCAATAAGTATATAATTATATTTATTTATACAAAACGATTTCTACCATATGTATGTTTATTTCTGCTGTCTAATTGAACAAAATAATATGTATATTATTTACTTGAATAAACTCTATTTCTAACCAGAACTTGCTTAAACAAATTATGAGAACAGATTGATTTGGAAAATTGGTTGTTCTGTAGTGAATCTCAAGTTGTTAGCTTCTGGATCATTAATTTCAATACTAATCATGTTGTCATGTTGAGGGTGGAATACTGCTAAAACCCCTGCTAGAGAACCTTAGAGGTGTCACACTTCCCATAATCTCTTTTATACTGACTAAACAATACTTTTACCTAAGATTTTAAATCTACATGTATTTACTTTGATAACTTTTGACAGATTACCCCTTTTATAAGCTGGACTATTCGAAGAATATGGAGAGCTATTGCAGTCGCCCTGGCGTCGGCGTCGGCGTTGGTTAAAGTTTTTTGTAAAGTCAAATATCTCAATTATTGCTTGAGATATTCAATTGAAACTTACAATACTTATTTATAGTAACAGTGTACATCAGATTGACAATTTGGATAACTTTGTCTACAATATTTACAGAATTATGCCCCTTTTTAACTTAGAGTTTTTTGTTAAAATTTTTTCTAAAGTCAAATATCTCAATTATTGCTTAACATATTCAATTGAAATTTACTTTACTAAAAATACTTTTCTATAGTAACAATGTACATCAGTTTGCAAAGTTGCATAACTCTGCCTGCAATGTTTGCAGAATTATGCCCCTTTGAAACTTAGAAATTTTGGTTAAAGATTAAAACATTTTATTTTATTTTAGACTCAGTGTGCTCTATTAACAATGACTTTTTAGAATATGAAACATTATTACTTGGTGATTTTAATACAGATGTGTCCAGTGACAAGTCTTATCCTCTTTTCAAGTGTTTCAAATAATGTATTCATATGTTTCATTTTAATCAGTTAATAAGTGAACCTACACGAATTTGTTCTACAAGTGTAACAACTCTTGATTTAATTTTAATATCTGACCATGATAAAATTTCTCAATCGGGTGTTATAAAGATCATAACATGATTTACTGCACAAGGAAACTCTCTTTTATTGGTTCTCACAATAGTGTTACTCTAAGATCTTTAAAGAAGTATAATAAGGAAGACTTTCAAGCTAGTCTATTATCTACTGATTGGAATCCGGTATTACTGAGTGATAATGTGAATGAAGCATGGGACAGGTTTAAAGAAATTTTCTTATCTGTAATAAACACTATTGCTCCAGTGAAACAAATTAGGTTGAAACAAAGAACAGAACCTTGGATTGACTCTGATATACTTCAGGCTATCAGTGATAGAGATTCAGGTTTTAAAATTATTAAATGTAACAGAAGATTGGAAAAATTTAATTTGTTTAAAGGTCTCAGAAAGAAGGTGCAGTATTTAGTTCACTCTGCAAAATCAAGTTATTTTACTACTAAACTTGAGAACAAAAATGATTCTAAATCTTTATGGAAATCTCTCAAAAATCTTGAGCTGCCATCTAAGGAAATATCTTCTTCATCTAGTTCTAATATTTGTTTAAAAAAATTATGAAAAGGTTTGTTTTGACAAGAAACTTATTGCTGAGACTTTTAACAATTTCTATACAACTGTTGCTTGTAAACTTGTTCAAAAACTTCCTAAATGTGTAAACAGATTTGGTCAGGTTTTTGTAAACTCATTTTATGCTGAAAGAGGTGTTTATCCTAATGGTTTTTCTTTTACTCTTTTGTGTGAAAGCAAAAATTTTAAATACTTAAATTCACTAAGTGCTATCAAAGCTATTGGCTTAGATGGTATACCTTCCCATTTTGTCAGGAATGAGTCACCTATAATTACCCACATTGTCAACTTGTCTCGTATCCAAGGTGTAGTTCCTGATGATCTTAAGACTGCTAGACCTGTCCCCCTTTTTAAAAAGAATGATAAACTATCTTTTGGTAACTACAGGCCTGTTTCAATATCAAATGTAGTCTCCAAGATACTTGAAATGGTAGTCTATGACCAAGTTGAAACATATTTTAAAGAGAATAAGCTGTTGTATAAATTCCAGTCTGGTTTTAGAAATGGTTTCTCCACTGATACTTGTCTCATTTACATGACAGACAATATGGCATGAAATTAATAAGGGTAATGTGGTAGGTATGGCTTTGTTAGACTTACAGAAAGCCTTTGACACTGTTGACCATTCCATTCTCTTAATGAAGCTTCAGGCGTCTGGTCTTGGTGATGACATCATAAGGTTGTTTAGGTCATATCTTTCTCAGGGACAACAGCTTGTTAATGTGTCATGTAGTTTTTCTTCTACTTCAAGTATAACATGTGGTGTTCCCCAGGGTTCAATCATTGGGCCCTCCTTTTTTTAATTTACGTCAATGACATGTCAGTGGTAGTGAAAAATAGACTGTTGTTATATGCTGATGACTCTGGAATACTTGTTACTGGAAAAAGTTTATCTGAGGTGGATATTTCTGTATCTGAAGATTTGCCTTCAGTAAATCAATGGTAAATTGATAATAAGTTATCGTTGCACTTAGGTAAAACTGAGTCCATTGTGTTTGGGTCTAAACAAAAACTCAGGTTACATTCCAAATTAAATATAAATTGTAACGGCACTGCAATAGAAGCGTCAACATCTATCAAGTACTAGTACCTCTGAGTAACTATTGATCAGTACCTGTCCTATGGTTCCATGGCAGACTCAGTTATGTAGAAGGCTACCGCCAGGTTAAAGTTCCCTTACCGTAAGAAAGATTTCCTTACACAGCATACCAAAACACTGCTTGTCAATTCCTTAATTCAGTGTCACTTTGACTATGCCTGCTGGTATAATGGTTAAACTCATGTCTTGAAAAATAAATTACAGACATCACAAAATAAAATGATGAGATTTGTTCTAAACCTTGATTCCAGAATTCATTCTGGCCCTTCCCATTTTAAATCCCTTTATTGGTTACCAGTGTGTAAGAGAGTTGAACAAAATATGTTATGTCGTGGTTTTAAGGTTAAAAACCAAATGGCCCCAGAGTACTTAAGTGATTGTTTTGTTTCTCAGGAATCTATGCATTCTTATTGCACCAGACTGAGCAAAAAAGGAGGGTATTGTCTTCCTAAGGTTAAAGGTTCTGGATAGTTTTTTAGTTTTATTGGTGCTAAACTCTGGAACAGTCTTCCGACTTGTATGACTGAAATTAACAAATGTCATCGTTTTAAGGTAGCCATCAAAAGTCACATTTTAAGTAGCATGTAAATGTTTTTCTTTAAATTTCTTGCAAGAAAATTTTATATGTTTATATTTTTTTATTGATTTTTTTTCGACTCAGGTTTACTGTTTAATTTTTTTAAATTTGTTTAAATGTTTTTTATTAAGACTTTAAAACTTTCTCTTTTTTGAATAGTGTAATCTATGACATGTTCTTTCCTTACATACTCATAACTGTATGATCATATTTTATTTACTCTTAATACACCATGGTCCCTGTGATAATAAATCGCAATAATCCTTTAAACTGTGATAATTTTAATGTAATCTTTTCTTAATATGCACGTGATCATTTCTTAATGTGATACTGAATTTTAAATTAATTATATTACATTACATTTTAAATTGTGAACATTTTAAATGATATCCTTCATTAATGTGATTTTTCTTAAGTGATATTTTTTTTCTTTTATGAAATACCTCTCTTTGTCATGCCACCAAATGCTAAGGACTACAATGGAAATAAGAACTTGCTCTTTTTGTGTTATCCTTGGTTTTAGGAACATTTCATGGTTTACATAATATAGTATTTATTCCTTTATTTATTTATTTTTAATTGTTTTAATCTATATTGTGTTTATCATGTAACATGTTTAACTTTTGCCGAAATAAATATATCTATCTATCTAAAGGTCTTAAGAACTATCAAAGATATGTACTTGAAACGTTACACATGTACTTAGGGTCATAATTGAAGGTCACATCTCAAGATCCATTACTATAATGTATTTTGACTGAATTATGCTCCCTTTTGTACTAAAAAAATCTCCTTTTCTTGGTTAAGTTTTACATGTAAGTTTTGCATATCTCTGAAACCATTAAGGATACAAACTTGAAACTTTGTGGTCATAAAAAATTATCACTGAACAGCACTCATATCTGTGTCATGTATTTAGGCTGATTTATTTCCCCCTTTTTCACTTAGTATCTTGGTTAATGTTTACATGTAAGTGTTACATATCTCAATAACTATCAAAGATTTTGATTTGAAACTTCACATATGCATGAAGGGTCATACTTGTATGTCACTGACCAAGTTCGATAACTGTATCTTGCATTTAGGCTGATTTATCTCCCCTTTCCTAATTAGTCTCTTGGTTAATGTTTACATGCAAGTTTTACATATCTCACTATCAAAGATATTTATTTAAAACTTCAAATATGCATTTAGTGTCATAATTGTAGGTCACTGAGCAAGATCCATAATTCTTTCTTGTATTTTGGCTGATTTTTCTCCCTTTTTTCAACTTAGAAATTCATGGTAAAGTTTTTGCTTGTAAGCTGTTATCTCCATAACTACTGAAGGGTTTGTGCCTTTTTGGGACAATTTTATGCATTCATAATAATAAAGCAGTAATTTACTTGATAAAACATCTTAATAACAAGCCTTTGTACCTTTTCGGACAATTTTATGTATTCATAAGTAAGCATTATTATACTCAATAAACACCATTGTGACAACTTTTTCGAAAAGTCGAGCCTTACTGTCCCCCGACAGTTCTTGTTAAATAATATTAACACAGGCAAATTAAAGGTAGAATTTTATATAATTCAGAATATTGATACACTAGAGCGAGTAGCTGGACTAAGTGATGATAAGAATGTAGAGGCACATGGTTCCTTCAACACCGGACATTGTCTCGAGTGTGGCGATGAATATTCACTAGAATGGATGAAAGGTATATCAGAAATTTAAACCTCTTGACCAGTACTCCTTGAGAGTTTTCTTCTGAAAATAAAGATCCATTCTATAGATTGGTTAAAGTTTGTTGGTAATTAAAGCATAAATTGATTGTAATGTCATATGGTTTTCAAATTGTTGGTCCTTTTTCAAGTAAATGTTTTCTTGCACACCTTTATCTCTCTGTCTTGACAGTTTTTCAAGTTTATTTTTGTTTTTGTGGCATCTTAAAATTGTAGTGAGCCAGTTGTTTTATGTTTTGTAAAACAAAATGTGTCTTGTTCAAGTACACGTTGGGCGCCTGTGGCTGAGTGGTTTAGGTTGATGACTTCAAACCACTTGCCCCTTACCGCTGTGGGTTCAAATCCAGACAGGGACTTTGCATTCTTTCATGTGAAGAAGCTATCGAGCTAGCTGACGGAACGTGCCTGAAATAATGCACGAAAGGACACCTGAGATCTTCCTCCACCAGCAAAGCTGGAACGCGTTATGACCTGTACGGTGTCGTTGTGACATTAAACCAAACAAAGCAAAAAAGTACAAATTTGAAAATGTGATTGTAGGTAAATTGCATAGACAAGAATTTTATGTTAACCATTGATGTAAATATTTAATAATATATCTTCCATGCTGAATAAAAAATGTTGATTTGTGACCTAATATTCTTTAAATATGTATTATTGTATGGTAGAAATGTCAATTTCAGAACAGATATTTAGTAAATCAGAGACAGTTGTGCCAAAGTGTATAAAAGAGGACTGTGATGGTGTTGTAAAACCAGGTATTGCATATGTATTCTAGTTTTATTAGTATTATTTACATTCTACTTTTATGTTCTTATTTGAAACATAGTTGCTCCAACAAAAACAGATGTTTTCATATTTGATATTTCTTCATTCATTTTGCTTTATAATTTTATCAAAATGGTAAAAGCTTTTAAAGACTTGTTTTCAAATCAAAGCATCACAGGCAGAAAAATACATGTAAAACATTAAAGTGTTATTTACTATGTAAAAATAACTTACTGCAATAAGGACCCCTTTAGTTTCAGAATCAAAACATAACTGTCAAATAAAATCACACTTGCACATCATGGAAAGCATGACAAAATGGTTCTTTCTGAATAAGACGTAATCTTGTCCAAGAATAGCGCCAATGCACCTTTATTCGTGCATTAAAGCTACTATTCCACACATTGTAGTTTGGGCGTTCTTGAAATAAAATGTCATCAACAGATACAATTTCACCACAGGCTTGTACATTTATATGGAACTAAATGATTATTACATGTCTTGTCTGATAAAAAAACATTGAAGTAAAGTTTTTGCAAAGTTTATAATGCTGTATTTTTTTAAACCGTTGCAACGTTTTATTTTGCAAATTTGAACTAGACTTAAATTATAAACACACCCATGAACTGGCTGCAAGTCGATCCGTTGGTTGCGGGTAGAAGAGTTGTGCGTTTGGTAATTCTTTTTCATCTTGCAATCGACTACTGCACAATATATCATAGAAAATTTTGTTGACAAAAGGGAATAACAATCTTGATAATAAACTGACATTTATTTAATTAATTCGACCTGTATCAAGCTGTCCTACTCGCTGCATGTTAATGGATGTGATGATAGGGATGTTTCTATCTGTGTCAAGTGAAACATATCAACTGTTAGGTCACAGTTATGTCATGGAAACTGCATATTTTACTTCTTTGCAAATTTAATAACTGTAAACATTTGTTGATTTTTGAGACCCATTTTGTGTGGGAGAGTAGCTTTAACATCTGCAGAAACCCTCAGACTTATTAAATCCTTCGCCCTGTGGGCTTGTGCATTAAACAAGTTCCCATGCTTCTGCTAATGTTAATGCATGAAAAAAAAGTACATTAACCCTCATATCACATATTAAACTAAAGAGATTTAGTTTGAAACAGCAATGTTAATAGATAAAATTGTCATTAATGAATTATTTGATACAGTAAACTTCACTTATAGCGAACACGGTTATAGCGAACTTCCGGTTATAGGGAACAATTTATTTTGGCCCGAATTTTGGCCTTCTTTATTTAATATAAAAATATATGGTTATAGCGAACACGGTTATAAGGAATTATCGCTTATAAGGAACTCATTTTTTAGTCCCAATTTAGTTAATAGTACAGAAAATTACACTTTTATAACGAACTCCAAAATATTGACTATCCGTAAATAGATCTTGCATTTTCAACGCACGGATTAAAACTCGGGCGAATGTACCGTTTATCGTTGTATGTACCTCAATACAGCTATTCAAATGAATTTGTATAGTTTTCTATTTTGGATATTTTTAGCATGAGCTATTTTCACCAAGATAAAACGGTTATTTATTTATTTTCTTCAACAGTTTTGCTGGAGTAAAATAATTATAATAATTTATAATCGGTTTTCAACATAATCATGTATGCTTGCAAGTATGATCCATTGCAAACTGCAAAGTACGCTTGATTTAAATGAAAAGAAATCTATATCTTACATAAGTAAAAGTCACCCTTAAATTATAATAGAAGATATTCAATATAAATGGAAGGAAAAATTGAAAATCTTGTTTATTCTCAATCATGGAAAGAAAACGAAAATAGTTTAGAAACAAAATATTATATTTTATGTGAAATTGAGATAAGGAGTAAAACTAAAACTGAAATAGCAATGATTTTCGAATTCCAAAAAGTACGCTCTCGGTAGTGTGTCCAAAATATAAATAAATGACTAATATTTCTATTACTTAATCAAATTCTCTTCAAAATGGCGGACAATGGTAAACAATCAGTTCGTTATATGTAAATCTGTTCGCTATTAAAACTACTGATACAAGGAACTAATTCGCTGTATGCTTACAAGGAACTCCGGATATAAGGAACAGGTTTTGAATGTCCCAGTGAGTTCGTTATAAGCGAAGTTTACTGTATTAGCTGTGTTATTTGGTCTTGGATAATCATATTGAGCTGCAGCTTGTGACATTATGAATGTCCTTTTTACTGGCTAGGCTGTATACAGGTGGTAAATACCAAAGAGTAAAAATAATGTGAAGACAAATTATTTTTCAGATATTGTATTTTTTGGAGAGAGTTTACCAAAGAAGTTTGCACAGAATGTTTCAGTGAGTTTTGTTTTTCATCTAGAAATTACCAAAGCCTTTTAATTTAAGTTGAAAGTTTATTTTTGATGGGAAAAAATTGTTTTTCATCAACAAATTACTGTTAAAATGCTAAACTTATTTTTGGGGATTTAAAAAAAATGAAAGTAGGGGGGAAGAGGTAATTGGCAAAATCTAAACAGTAAAATTATGTTGTTATCAATTATTGGAAGAGTTGTAACATAGAATATGTTTGTTATTTAACACAAACAAATACTTTACTTAAACAGAAAAAAATGTTCAAGAACAGATATGCTGATATTTTGTGTATGATTAATGATATCTATCATGTGTTGCGGTTCATTTTTGTAGGGACATGCCCATTTAGCAAAGTTGCTGCCAATGGGCGGGTCCCTGAGAGATTGATATTCTAATCCAAACCGCAAACATATGTCAGACATTTTATCTTGCATATTCTACAGTATTCTATCATAATTGAAATTCACAGCGAATTGACGCTATCCTAGTCATCCAGTTTCATTCTTAAATACGCTGGAATGACGTTATTTTAATGCGGTTCATTCATACAATGCACTAAAATGACGCCATTGTATATTGTGTGACTTATCTGGCATCTCCATGCCAGATGACATTTCTGGCATGGGTAAAATTAACAGAAACACCAGTCTGATATGCAAGAATTAAACCATTTAGCATTATATACGTATTTTGTAATAATTCTTTTTCAAATTTTGAACAAAACATTTGTAATTTGAAAGCAGCAAAAATATAGCTTTATAAACCGAAATCACCAAGAGTTACTGGTTTTAGATTTAAATTTTGGCAGCCTCATTCAAAGGTATAAAAAAAAAAACTGAAGTTCTGAAATTAGATAACTGTTTGAATTTGTCATTTTTCACTATTGAATTTCGATATTTCACATTTAAAGATATAATATTTGTAGGATTTAGGCAGGTGTGATTGTCTGATAGTTATGGGAACATCATTGGTTGTACGGCCATTTGCTTCACTTACATCAAGGTAGGAGATTCATTATTCTTTATAAGTTTGTTAAAGTATGGTACATTATTTAATACGCAGATAAATACAAAATAAATTATATTTAGATTTAATCAGAGCTGAGACATATGCAGATATATTTATATCAAATAAACACAACAGAAATGTATAAACAAGCACTGGAACAAACAAAAAGCCAAACAGCCTGAAAGCTAGACAAGACATAATTAAACAGCAGCAAATTTAAGAACCTATGTGTATAATGGTTAACAAATGCCTATCCCAGTTCAAAATAAAGCAACTAATAAAAAAGCAACAAAACTAGTATGAAAGCTAATAAAAAAACAAAAACATATTGTCACCTTAGTGCAGTAACGGGTTAACTCCTTATATAATTTAATAGAAGTTAACCTATAACTGCACGAAGGTGACAATATGGTACTTTAAATGTTAACAAGCTTCCTGTCAAATTGTTTGTATTGTATGAGAGAGTGGTATTATATCATTGGCCTTGCTGGTGTTTACACAAATTTGATTAAGAAATACAAATTTATGATATTTTCAGAACACTAAAAACAACACCACGTTTGTACATAAATCTTGAAAATACCTCTGCAGGGGTGAGTATTTGATGATTACAGCTGTGTATGTTTTGGCAATTTAATACTTGAATTTTAGCAACAATATGAATTTTATGATATACCTATTAGTTTTCAAGTAAAGAAATGAGTACAATTATTCTGAAATGATTTTTATCATTTAGCATTTTGTATCAATGCAATAATGACTTTATAACTATTTATTGCAGTAACATTATATCATAAATAGACCTATTTTTATGAACTAGAAAAAACTTTTTCAGTTTTGATTAGATTTTCTTTATTGCATAATTAGTTGTGTTTGCCCGTCAGGATCTTGCATATACAACTTACACAATTACCAAGTGTGTAACAACCAATCAGAATAGCACACTGTCAGACATGTAATTGTCACAGTAGCTGAAATATATCTAAATGTGGATGAAAAGCAGATTATGTTAAATAATTGGAAATATTGTCAGAAATACTCTCCGTCGTGAGTAAAATGTGTTTGATTATCAGAAGCACATGAATATCTGCACTACTTATGTTAAAAAATGTAACAGAATTTGTGAAAATTTACACAAATATATTTTTAACATGAACATGATGTCGTGATTTGATGAGGGCATGTCATTACACAGCAAAGATCAATAAAAAAACACTTAAAGGCATTAAATAAATAGAAAATTTATGCATTTTCTAATGATTTTTCTTTGGTTTGCAGTCAAGTGATGTTATGTCAATGATGTTTACTGGAAGAAGTGGTTTTGATTTTGACAAGGAGGACAATATCAGGTAATCTTGTGGTATTTGATAAATTTGTTCACAGGGGCTGCCATAACTAAAATCATACATGTGACTCTTCCACTTGTAGTGGGAGACTCCCATTTTCTGCAGCCATATTTTCAAAGATTTTTCTTTAAATAAGGGGTATTTTCACAAATTAAAGAAATCTCCCTCTTTTTGATGTTAGAACTTTCTTCTTTGTTTATTGCAAATTCTAAATTCTCCCTATTTTTGAAGAAAACACTCCCACTTGATCATTGAAAAAGTTCACATGGGTGTAAAAGGTTTAATGTTTGTGACATCGTACCACTTACCTCTCACCTCTGTGGGTTAGAATCCTACTGGGAACTTTGGATTCTTTGGTGTGACAAGGTTATCCAGCTTGCTTACAGAAGGTCAGTGGTTCTACTCAGGTGACTGCTCGTGCCTGTATAATGCACAAAGGGGCACCTGAGATCTTCCTTCACTAAAGCTGGAAAAAGGTATCCACATGACCTTTATGTATATGATATCAACCAAATACGAGGTCTTTCTGTTTAGGAAAGACCTGATCACAAATAAAATGTGCCACAGGGCACAAAGTATAAAGTCAAACCAGTATGTACATTACGTACACTCTATACTGTTTGCTTTCTTACTTCCAGTTATTTGGTACTGAATTCAATTTAACAAATGAGTACAAATATATTGAACCCAATGAACTCAGGATCATAGACAGTAACATCAAGATCTGGCAGTGTAATACATGTGCACGATATTGGCAAGATTGGGCAAAGTGAAAAAATGCCATTATTTGCAATTTCAACACCTTTACAACAAATATGTTTGCTGACTTCTCTGTATTTGAAAGAGAATAAATCTAATAAAAACTAAATATAAATACTAGTCATTTTGATAATAGAATAATGATTACTTTCTAATAAAGAACCATGGTTGGTAGTATGTGTTATGTAAAGAACCATGTTTCGTAGTATGTGTTATGTAAAGAACCATGGTTGGTAGTATGTGTTTTGTAAAGAACCATGGTTGGTAGTATGTGTTTTGTAAAGAACCATGGTTGGTAGTATGTGTTTTGTAAAGAACCATGGTTGGTAGTATGTGTTATGTAAAGAACCATGGTTGGTAGTATGTGTTATGTGAAAAATACATTTTTCTTAAACAAGTAATAGAAAGAGCATCGAAACATGAGGCTAACTGATTTGTATTAGATGGCATAGCCCCAAGTATAAATCCGATTGCAAAGTGAATAATGATTTTTATGTCATTATCTCTTTCCCAGTTGTCATTATAAGTAAACTCCAGAAAAAATATAGCCAATCAACATCAGCGAGCATGTTTTATGTTTATCCCTGATAGACAGTGTTGTAAATAGATTGCAGGTAACTTATACCTGCACCTCATTTAATGCACTGTGCATTTAAGGGTATATGATTTAACTCTGACACATTTTCAATAGAAAGGTCTCCAATCTGTGATACAAGAAATGATTATACCGATGCTGACTTTTGTTTATTACATTACAGAGATGTGTTCTGGCAAGGTACATGTGATGATGGGTGCTACGCTTTAGCTGATCTATTAGGATGGGGTGTAAGTTATGCTGCTTTATTTATACAGTTACCAGCATTATATTTCTCAGATTTTCCTCTTGTGACTAAGGGGTTGTCTTTAAGGGTAGAGGCATTACATTTCTTTGATTTTTCCTTTGTGACTGAGAGGTTGTCTTTAAGAGTACAGGCATCAGAATTGAAGCCACTGCTTGTCCCAGCGTGATTGTAAGTGGCGACTGAATTGATTTGAATATCTTGAGTCTATGCATCTCTTAGCTCAAGCAGTTGAGGCGGTTTTGACCGCTGGTGTTGCTTTAAGTTTGGTAACCAAGAGGTTAGCCAAAATCATTTTTCCTGTTTCGGCACCATATGACCTAAATTGTGTTGATGCGCTGTAAAAAAAACTAGAAATGTGTCCATAGAACACGGATGCCCCCACACGCCACTGTTCTGTCAATCTTATGACTCTAGGTCAAATATTTTTTGGACTACAAGTTGTAAACTTAAAATCAACAAAGGGCCATAATTCTGTTAAATTTGGTCGCAGCGAAAATTTCTTCCTTAACTACAATTTACACATTAAGGTTGTTCATCCCTGGAAGTTTAAGCAAAATCTGCCATCCGGTTTAAGAGGAGTTGCGTTCACAAAATTTCTACATAGTATATAGTGAAAAAATCAACAAAGGGCCATAATTCTGTTAAATTTGGTCGCAGCAAAAATTCCTTCCTTTACTACCATCTTCACATTAAGGTTGTTCATCCCTGTAAGTTAAAGCAAAATCTGCCATCCGGTTTAAGAGGAGTTGCGTTCACAAGATTTCGGGACGTACGGACGGACAGACAGACGGACGGACAAGTGCAACGCTATATGCTCCCACTTTGTGGGGGCATAAAAAAGGTTTACAGATTTATATATTTGTAACATTTATGTATTATTTTACATGTTCTTTTTATTACAAAGTTTGTTCTGTTTGGTTCATATACAGGTTGAGCTAAGACAAATGGTTAAAGAAGAACATGAAAGACTGGATAAAGAGAAATCAGCTTCATCCAAAAAGAAAACTTCAAAATCTGGTCAAGATCATATTGATAAATCACTAAATAAATCTGCGAATAAATCACCAAAAATGTGATTGATGATGACTTATATTTTTATCAATATGTTAAGTTTTTGTTTTTTGCTGATTTTTATTGTTAGCTCACCGGAACCGAAGGTTCAGGGTGAGCTATTAGTATCAAAGGGGATGCTCCGGCGTCTGTCGTCCGTCGTCATGCGTCAACAATCGTCTTCTTCTCTGAAACCATTTGGGCAGATTTTCTTCAAATTTGGTCTGTAGCATCCTTTTGACACTCACACTTAAATTTGCTCATGTCATTTCTATTGGCCCTTTTAGGGGTCAACAGAGCTAAAAATAGAAAAACCTTTAAACATCTTCTACAACAGAACTCATTGATGAATGATCACCAAACTTTGTCTGTAGCATCCTTTCGTAGTCTTTTAACAAGTTTGCTCATATTAATTTGATTGGCCCCATTTCAGGGGTCTCTAGACCTAAAAATCGAAAACTATTTAGACATCTCCTTCTACAGAACTAATTGATGGATGATCACCAAACTTTGTCTGTAGCATGCTTTGGTAGTGTTTTATCAAGTTTGCTCATATTTATTTGATTGGCCCCTTTTATGCGTCTCTAGGGCTAAAAATAGAAATACCTTTAAACGTCTGCTTCTACAGAACTAATTGATGGATGATCACAAAACTTTACCTGTAGCATTCTTGGGTAGTCTTTTATCAAGTTTGCTCATATTTATTTGATTGGCCCCTTTTTGGGGGCCGCTAAAGCGAAAAATAGAAAATACCTTTAAACGTCTATTTCTACAGAACTAATTGACGGATCATCACCAAACTTTGTCTGTAACATTCTTAGGATTTTTTTATCAATGTTGCTTATATTAATTTGATTGGCCCCTTTTAGGGGGAGTCTATAGCTAAAAATAGGAAAACCTTTAGACATCTTCTTCTACAGAACTAATTGTCGGATGATCACCAAACTTTGTCTGTAGCATTCTTGGGTAGTCTTTTTTCAAGTTTGCACATATTAATTTGATTTAGAAATACATTTAAACGTCTATTTCTACAAAACTAATTGATGGACGATCACCAAACTTTGTCTGTAGCATTCTTTGGTAGTCTTTTTATCAAGTTTGCTCATATTATTGTGATTGGCCCCTTTTAGGAGCCGCTAAAGCTAATAATAGAAATACCTTTAAACGTCAATTTCTATAGAACTAATTGATGGATGTTCACCAAACTTTGTCTGTAACATTCTTAGGTATTCTTTATCAAGTTTGCATATATAAATTTGATTGGCCCCTTTTAGGGGTCTCTAGAGCTAAAAATAGAAAAACCTTAACGTCAGCTTCAACAGAACTAATGGATGTATGATCGCCAAACTTTGTCTGTAGCATTCTTGGGTAGTCTTTAATCAAGTTTGATCATATTAATTTGATTGGCCCCATTTTAGGGACCGCTAAAGCTAAATTTATAACTACCTTTAAACGTCTCCTTCTACAGAACTAATTGATGGATGATCACCAAATTTTGTTTGAAGCATTCTTTGGTAGTTTTTTTATCAAATTTGCTCGTATTAATTTGACTGGACCCTTTTAGGGGCCGTTCAAGCTAAAAATAGAAAAAAAACTTTGAACATCATCTCGTACTGAAATAATTGATTGATGATCACCAAACTTTGTCTGTAGCATTCGTTGGTAGTCTTTTATCAAGTTTGATCATATTAATTTGATTGGTTTCTTTTAGGGGCCGCTAAAGCTAAAAATAGAAAAACCTTTGAACATCATCGCCTGCTGAAATAATTTATGGATGATCACAATACTTTCTCTGTAGCATTCGTAGGTAGTCTTTAATCGAGTTTGCTCATATTAATTTGATTGGCCCCTTTTAGTGGCCGCTTAAGCTAAAAATAGAAATACCTTTAAACGTCTCCTTCTACAGAACTAATTGATGGATGATCATCAAACTTTGTCTGTAGCATTCTTAGGTAGTCTTTTATATTTTACTGAAAAGCGGTTGTTTCTGGTGAGCGACTCAGGGCCATCATGGCCCTCTTGTTTACAATTTTGATTAATTGTTCCATTGTTTTATCACTTATATATGTTATTGAACTGGTAGCAGTCAAAAACAGGGTTTATAACAGGAGCAATGTGTTCTCAAACTTTTTGGAATATCTTTCTGGTTTCTTTTCTATCTGCATTAGATAATTTTGCAGCACTGTATATTTTTCTTGTATATTGTCCTTGACAAAGTTTGGTGATCATCAATCAATTATTTCAGTAGGAGACGATGTTCAAAGGTTTTTTCTATTTTTAGTTTTAGCTTTAGCGGCCCCTAAAAGCGGCTAATCAAATTTATACGAGCAAACTTGATAAAAGACTACCAAAGAATGCTTGAAACAAAATTTGGTGATCATTCATTCATTAGTTCTGTAGAAGGAGATGTTTTAATGTATTTCCATTTTTAGTTTTATCGGCCCCTAAAAGGGGCCAATCAAATTAACACGAGAAGACTTGATAAAAGACTACCCAAGAATGCTACAAACAAAGTTTGGTGATAAGCTATCAATTTTTCAGTAGGAAATGATGTTCAAAGGTTTTTCTATTTTTAGCTTAAGTGGCACCAAAAAGAGGCCAATCAAATTAATATGAGCAAAATTGATAAAGAGTACCTAAGAATGCTACAGACAAAATTTAATGATCATTTATGAATTAGTTCTGTAAAAGGAGACGTTTAAAGGTTATTCAATATTGAGCTTTAGCGGTCCCTAAAAAGGGGCCAATCAAATTAATATGAGCAAACTTGATAAAAGACTACCCAAGAATGCTACAGACAAAGTTTGGTGATCATACATCCATTAGTTCTGTTGAAGCAGACGTTAAAGCTTAAGTCGTAAAAGACGTTTCTGACAGTAATGGCATAATATGGGTTAAATTAATTAGAGACTTTTCCAAAATGATTTTGATGTATTTCCCTGCTTTATGTATATTCCACCTAGTAATTCTGATTATTTTAATATGCACGATATTGGCTTTTTCGAAGCACTTGAAATAGGTGTCCGAAAATATTCTCAATGCGGTAAAATAGCGGTTTTAGGTGACCTGAATGCAAGATGCGGTAATAGGTCAGGCATTATAGAAGAAATGGATCATTTTAATTGTTACATTTATTCGATTATAAAATTGTGATATGAGTAACAGTAATATTATTATACCCGATAGAAAATCAATGTCAATTCTTCGGGAAATAAACTTCTTTATTTATACTTGGGTACTGATCTTAAAATTGTAAATGGGAGATTAGGGAATGATGCAGGTATAGGCAATTTTACCTTTATGTCTAATACAGGTAAAAGTCTAATTGATTATGTGCTTATGCAATGCGAGTTATTTCCCTTTGTACATGAATTTAAAATACATGATTTGTTTACCTATTCACATCATAAACCTGTTCAACTTGATATGAGTTTTGCATGTATATCGAAAATCATTGATAATGAAAGTGTTAGTATTAATGTATTAAAATGAAATAACAAATATTGAGACAAGATAGATAATTACAAAAAAAATATTGAGAATGAACTTACGAACATTGACATGATTGTGAATAGTGTAATTAGAACTGATGTTAAATTAGATATAGATATACAGAAAATCATTAAGTATATTTATTGAGTCAAATTCAGATGTTGTCAGACTTAGGTTTTATATATCTATGGAATAACGATAATATTTTACTTGTGCATATTAATACTATTATACAAAGATACAAAGAATTTATGATCAGCAGCTATAGCAATGGTGTGCTGAACTTAATACTTTCTCAAAGTTAGAAAGTTATAATTTGTTTTAAAATTGAATTTACCCAAGAGAAATATTTAAGTTGGGTTAATAATTTAAAACATCGTAAAATGCTATCAAGGTTTAGGTGCTCTTCGCACAAATTAGCTATTGAAGAGGGTAGACATAGAAATATTGAAAGAAACCAACTCCTCTGTACAAAATGCAATATGAAAAAATTAAAACTGAATATCACTTCTTATTAGTATGTCCATATTATAACGACTTAAGGAAAACATGTTTACCTAGATATTATTGCTCATGGCCTAATTTAAATAAATTCATATCAATAATGAAATGTTCCAACAAAAATGTAATTGTTTACTTAGCAAAATTTGTTAATTCAGCAATACAACTAAGAATTGAATCTACTTAATACATTTGTTTGAATTAATGTACGCTGAAAAAAAATTATGTGTATGTATAATTTATGCTGTGTGTATCTTACTTTTCAGTACTTTGTATTGTACCGCCGCATAGTTAATTGGCGATGAACATGTATATGTTTTTGCCAATAAATTATTTGACTTGACTTGACATGTATACTTTCGGAGAGTTTAAGATTTGTCATTTTATTTTTTTGTGTCAATCTATTAAATATATAAATCAAGTATCAAGTATGTAAAATCCTGTATTATACTATATAATTATGTTTTCAATGAGTAAAATATTGAATCTATGGAAGCCAAAAATTGTCACCTTCGCGATAACGTTTTATTACGCGATGAAAGAACATGAAAATGAAGAATCACAATAATATGCGGGCGGTTGCAATGAACGGTTTAAAAATAGATTGAAAATCATGATGCTAACTCGTTGTTGACAAATCATCTGTGAGTCACATTCAATATGTTCATTGTTTAAACAAAATAATTGACTCTGTTTATTCATAACTGAATGTAATGACGTGAAATCAGTAAGAGAACATGAAGTTGGAAACGTCTTTTAGCGTTGCTGATGCTGATTGGAACGTAAACAGTATAACTGAGTAATGTTTCCTGACCACTTCCCATTGGTTATCAACATCTTCCTTAAGTTGTATCTTCGTAATTGCATCTGATAGGCCTGGAAATCTGCTACCTGCATAGTTGTCTACAGTGCTCTCAGCGAATAATATATGCCTGCAAATAATATATTCAAAGGCTGATGTAATGTCCGATTCATTGTGATATTCATTAGTGTTGGTATGGGTATTTTTTCTGATCCTTATGGGCTTATGAATGATTCAAAACCTTGAATACTCTTAATTATAATATGCTGATGCTTGAGGCGTGAGAGATGTTGCACTTTGTAACAGACACATATAAAATGTATTTTCAATTTTAAACTCTTTGTTTGTTTCCAATGCTATGGAGTCATTCATTTTTAGAAAAATGTATAATCCATATAGATTCTATCTTTTTATACATTTAATCATTTAAAAAAGAAAATATGTCAGATATATGTACATTATACCTTTTAAGACTGCGACCTGGAAGACCAGCGGGATCAATAAATGCTCTGTCTAACTGCATCAATTGATCGTTTATCCGCCGGACGACAAACGGACTGTAAAATATAATAATAATTCTACATTTTTGCACAAAATTTGAAATCTATTTAAAGGCTGCAAATCATCTGTCAATGTATTAAGACGAATTTCTTTTTACATTTTTCTAATCATTGGTACATACGATGAAGTCAAAGCAAAACGGAAATAAATGGAAGTGCATAATTTAAGAAAAAAGAAAAACATGTATACTTTTCTCTATTGATTACATGGCGTTCTTTTTAACTTTTTGCCTGTGTTTTTGTTTATTTCTAAAACACCCTTTCGATTATCCTTAGTAGATGTTAGTGCTATCATCTCATAAATAACGATACAAAGAGCGAACAACTAAAGAAAAGCGATAAAAATCCTTACTCCTTTAGGTTTGCTTTCTGTATTTGGTTTTCGAATTCCCGTACAGATGACGTGAAATTGGATATTGCTTGTTCTAACAGACCTGAAATTAAATGACACAAATTAACATGGACCAATTATTATAAGGAATTTGATTTAAGGTTATTGACTAGATTGCTTTTAACAAACATCTTATCGCGCTTGCTTGCATAAGATATACTTCATAAAAAGTAAATTGACAACAGATCAATGTACAAAAAGGAGTTTAAACCGGTGCTGATATTAAACGGAGTCTACAAATTTTCACCTTTTATTGCTGTTTCATGATCTTGTGGAATCTTTACCAGATTTTATTATCAAAAACATTTAATATTAAACTTATAACACCCTCATTTCACAAATAAATATATTTATAATTTAAAAAGTAAAGTATAGATGAAGAAAACATATGTAAAAAAGTAAACATAATAAATGCGACTACCTGATATAATTTACAAATATCTTTGCACTATCAGAATCTTTTTAAGAATTTATATATTCAAATGATACACATTATTATATCACATCTGTAAGATAACATAGTTCATAATTTTATAAATCTAATTGTCTTTTAATATATATTTATATATTGCCTACCTATGTCGATTCCATTATCAGTCATTATTTTACTGAAGCTGTCCATGAAGGTTTTACCTATTGAAGTTATAACTGTAGAGTAGTCGGATACATTGAATGGAATAATCAGACTATCTGCTAAGTCTCTAGCCATTTCCGTCCAAATCTGACCGATTGCTCTATGATACTGTTATGAAAGAAAACAGAAAATTACAAACATTATGTTTTTCTCGATAATTATCCCGAATTTTTTCCATGACCCTGACGAATTCGAGATGAAGAGATTCGATTGTACATATAAAAGTAGTCGTTATATTAAGCCAAAACTGTTTATCAAAAGCAAAGCCATAGTTATTCCTAACGTAAAGTAAGACTACTAACAAACATGCACATTGTTTTTATGAAATGATAATTAGATAAAGTTTTTTTTTCAAGTTATTGTCTATATTTTTACAAATGGTTTTCTTCATTATCCACAGTACCTTATATTCTTCTATAAACTAAGCAAAAACTAGAAAATATTTATAAGAACAAGCTTTCTTAAAACTTATTTACTTGCACGGGTCTCTAGCATTTTGTGAGTGATTTTATGTTTAAATTTGAAAGTACTGGTTACTTTGAATTTTTGTCAAGGAAGCGAAATGGTTTGTTCTTTTTGGAATTTTGACCACAGGACCAAAATATTCGTTTAGTTAAGGGTGGTGAAACTTATTAGGTAAAGTGTTAGCCGAAAATGCTAAAAATAGCACCAATTCAGATCGGTTTTATTGTAAATATCTGTTAAAATGTCTAATGGTTTTGTTCCCATAAAAAACATAAACTATTAATAACAGTGTACTCGGTTTTTTTAAGACTTTGTGTATTTTTACGTTCATTAAAAGCTCTATCCATGATCCCTGATATATATATTTTTCATTAAAACCTCTTTCCTTGATCTCTAATATATATTTACATTAAAACCTCTTTCCTAGATCTTTAATATATATTTACATTAAAACCTCTTTCCATGATCTTTAATATATATTTACATTAAAACTTCTTTCCTTGATCTCTATTGTATATTTACAGTAAAACCTCTTTCCTAGATCTTTAATATATATTTACAGTAAAACCTCTTTCCTTGATCTCTTATATATATTTACATTAAAACCTCTTTCCTAGATCTTTAATATATATTTACATTAAACCCTCTTTGCTAGATCTTTAATAAATATATACTTACATGGAAACCTCTGTCCATGATCTCATCAACGAGATAAAATGTCTCATAGGCTGAATGATACATAGGATACGCTGACAACTTGTAACGAGGCTATAAAACGTGAAATTGAAACATTATTAATTATGTTTTGTCTAATTTTTTAAGTTATTTCATATCATTTTCATAATTTTTGTTGAACTGCGTTGTAGATGGTCTGTCTCGAATGTGTAGATCTAAACTGCAAAAAACCCGTGTCATGTTTTGATGTTCTATTATGGTTTATGTAACAGTACTTAATGACAATATAGTTTTTGCTTCATGGCCATTATTCAAAATATATAGAGATTTAGTATTTTTATAGAGAAGACTTAATAGATCTACTACTTTTTTGACATGCATCAACTTTTCTGACAAATAATTTCACATTCAATCATGCTTTATAACTTAACACATGTTTGCCTTATCTTCAGAGAACAAATTCTTATTTTCATTTCTGAGGCTTAATGTGCCTCTTCTGTGTACTACATTTGTCTGAAATTATTTCAAAAATACCTGACATGGAGTATCAACTTACATCCCACGTGTAACGAAGGTCTACTATAGGAACTCCTAATCTGTCTCGGAAAGTTGCATAGTCACTACCTGAACCTGGGAGAGTTATACTGAAAACAGACTCAATAATAAGATATTGCAATTGAGTAATAATTTAAGACAAAACTCAAAACTGTGTTTATATGCATTTACGTAACAATGTATGGTTGTATTGTTTTCATTTTGATCAAAACATTACAAGAAACTGACACTTTTCATAACCAAATAAATGAAGCGTAAGACAATATCTAATTTAAATACATATGCTTGAAACTCAGTCAGACAAGACCATAACAAGAGAGCCAAATGAGATAGGCCTACAAATTGATGTGAGAAAATCAGGTAAATGTAAGGCGTACGTTATGTTTATAAAAATCGTTCCGATATATTGAAATTCGTTTCGGTTATTATTAAACATTAAGTAATTGACAATAATCATAGGAACCAACCGTGGTCTATCAAATTCTGCAGATGGTGTAGTCATTTTCCAAGTGTCATAGACGCTGGTACGGCCTTCAGACACTTCCGTAGCATTAGGATTTGGTACTTTCTTCGTGGCGTCATACAAAGATTTGAAGATCATTGGTGTGCCCAGAGCACGAAATGTAAAGTTACCTTTAATATTAGTTTGCATTATTATTATTATTATTATTGAAATGAATTCTTGAAATTCTGAAAATTCTAAGAATAGAAAAATATCTAACAGACTTTCATAGATAGAAGTCTTACATTCGCACCTAAAATGCACCAGAAATCACTATCTACATGTATATTTACTATGTAAATTTATTTAGGAGACCTTATTCAAAAGATGGCCCCGTCCCCCAAATTCGAAAATGCTTCCCAAGGGCCTGCATTCAATTTCGTTTTCCATAACGCAATTCAAAAGAATGACCATATTAATTATATTTGTATACATATTATTCAATTGTTTATATGCATTTTATACTTCTTCGATTAATTTAAAATGTTTGGTACTTAGTAAATGAAATCATTTTTACAAGTACTTTTAAGATGTACTTAAAGTTTCTATAAATAAATAGCTCTATTAATATAAGCTATAGCATGGTAGTAAAAATGATGTGCGACTTACATACCTTGAACAGCAATATCTACATTCAAGTAAGCAATTGCTCGAGCACCAAGACTTTTAGTGTAATGCTGTAAATAAAATCAGCATGTTTTATCATGAATGATATGATATACTAGTAAAACATTCTTTAACAACATAATCGAAATACGAGACTTTATCAAACATCTTATTTAAAGTCTTTCATACGAGTATTTTGCATCATGCATGATACAACTTTTACAAAGTCGTTGGATAATGGTTCTCTGCATGGTAAGATCATTGACAGCAAATTTCCGGTTACTCAAAACAAAATATGTATTAGTTTTATAATTAACGCTCCGTCATCACTGCTCTAAGGTACAAACATTTACCTCGACCCATTCTGTAGACCCTACAAGTCCATACTCCTCCGCTCCCCAACTACAAAATATGATAGATCGCCTCGGACGCCACCTCCCTACAACAAAATTATTGTAAAATTTGAATTTGCAATGATTCACATTGTGTGTCGCTATAGTATGAGTAGATTGCATTGTTGCACTAAATGATTAGAGTGAAAGATCTAGCTGGACTTTATTTATGTACATGTGTATGTAATGAAGTTCTCAATAATCAATCATCTTTTCAGGATATCTTTAAACTGTCGTGCGGATTTACGTGCCATAACACTGCTTTATCCATATGCGATATGTTACAACGAACAATGTCCATGAAACATACTTTACCTTATTATCATAGCCGGATTCCGCCAAAGTTGAAAATTAAATTATTATAGTTTCACACAAAGTTCTTGTGTGTTTACACAAAGGATATAAAAGACACTATTGAAGAATAAATTTGCCTTCCACATTAACTTCTTAATCATAAAATGTTACAAAATTTTAATCATATACATTGTTGAGAACCAACCAACCTGATTTGACAAGCTGACCCATGGCCCTTGAAATTTCCATCATAATAGCGGTGCCGCTGGAAGGATCTAGTGCACCAAAAACCCATGCATCCCTGTGGTTTCCAATCAAAATGTATCGATCTAACAAAAGGAAAAAAAAACAGAAATTTAACAAAATTGTATATACAATAGCTTTGAACAAAAGCCAGGATAAGTATGAATGGCTTCTAAAACATTATTGTCCTTTAAATGGGTTGGAAAATAAAACCTTCTAATAATGATGTCTCAATGCAATTAAGTTGCCTTTTTCAATATGGATGAAACCATTGTTAAAGGAGCCCTAATTTCAGCTTACAATTATAAACGCATATTATATGTAAAGTTTGATTTATTTTACAGGTACATGTATATGAAATATTAAATAAGTGTAATTGTTTTAAACCTGTAATCATCCTTTAATGAACAAAAAATGATTTTACAAACATGTTCCTTCTATTATTTTAATTATAGAACTTAACATGATATATTATGCTTTTGTCTATTTTTCTGATAACATTTACCCGGTTCTACTGATCCTCTGATGATTCCAATAGCGTTGTATATTGTCACATTTCTGTTGCTTGTAGATACTTTAACATGTGCTCGCCTTACCAGTCAACAAGAAAAATGAAACATTTAAATCTATCTACAGTCATCATAAGATAAAAAGGATCATCATAGGTAACAAGTTTGTTTTGATTTAATGAATAAAAGCCAATTTGATAATGTTATTGACATTTTGTTTAATCCAAACTCAATATTATTTTCTTTGAAAATTATTTTCAATTATTCAGTATGTTACCTTTTTATTGGCATAATGAAGACTAAACAATAAGCTGACTCCTTTTGACAAATATCTATTAATGTACAGTTTGAATATTTACAACTGAAATATTGGCTTTTCAAATCATAACAAATAAAGAATGCTACTGATTGAACAATACCATCCCGGAGTCTGAAAACCATCTCCAAATTTGTATGTAACATTCATCCCTCCTTGCCAGGCTCGTGGAACAACATCACCTCCAAGATTTCTATGATATAAAACAAAAACATGTAAATAAAAATTGATTATGATGATGATGATGATGATGATAAAGATGATCATGATGGTTAAGACGATGATATGATGATGATAATGATGATCATCATAATGTTGATGATGATAATTAAACCGGTGATATGATAATGAGGACGATGACGAGGACGATGATGATGATGACGATGGTGGTGGTGGTAGTGGTGGTGTTGGTGGTGGTGGTTGAACTGATGCTCTTATGATGAAGATGGTGACGAATTGCTTAAAGATGTAAGGATTATCAAGAAAAATAAAATACAGACAGTACGCCATTCCTTGAGATATGCTTGAGTTTCAGTAAGTTTTTATTAAAGTTTATTCTATTTCAAAGATGATTTCAAGATTTCAAAGATGATTTGAAAATTTCAAAGATGATTTGAAGATGTGATTAATAAGTGACAACACGTTATAGAAAGTTCAAAAGCGATAAACCAGAAAGAAATTACATACCTCATCAGATTTATAGCTATGCCATACCCGATTGGGTGACAAGGGATCGCCGGCAGGTACCAATCGGGCGATAGTTTTTTCCTGTACGCAGTTTCTACACAGATATAAGAATATATGATTAATTGATTAAGTATTTATTACTATATGATTGTGTGTTTTAAAGACGATTTAAAAACATTGATGTTATAAATGAGGAAATATATGAATATCTTACTATATTGGGAATGTCAGAAATATAATATTTCATACAAACCAATGGCCGGATAGCCAGGTGACAACGGATCTCCGTCACCTATGTAGACTGTACCACGCTGTGTACCAGAGGGTGGAAGCCACCAATCTTTGGGATACACTTGATTTACATCTCCATCTGTCACATCTTCCGGATCAGAAAATAATATGACAGCTGTAGCTCCTCTCAGTTCTGCCAAATGAACCTGTATTAAATACAATTAAATGTTTGTTGAGTACTGTTGTGTCTTGACGTGAGCGACCATTATGGCCTCCATATGTACTGTCTAAGCGTGGGACAACGTCAAATTCTTCAATTATTGTGATGAAGCCATATGTGTCGTTTTGAATGTTTTTTTGGTTTTGTTGTTTTTTTGAGGGGGTGGGGGGGGGTAGAACAATAATATATAATGAAGAAAACGGCCTTCAGCAACATTAAAGTGCTTAATTATAATTATTCGTCACCTTTATCATGCAAAATCAACGCTACGGTAATAAGCATTAACTAAAGCAAAGAATATTTCGGCTGCATATGACAAACTTTAAATTCTTACTTTGTCACCTCTGAATATTTTCCCGTATCTTGCAAGCACAATTTTACCAGTGATGTTGATGCTCTTGTTTTGCTCAAGGTAAATGTAGTCTTCGACACGTCCGTAATTAACATATACAACTTCACCCTAAAACGAAATGATACTTGATCAATTGCTTTACAATTAAAACTTAATATCAACACACAAATGCAAAAATAATTAAGAGGTCGACCAGTAAAACTGACAGCTGCAAATGGACTACTAGAAAAGTTTTGTGGTTTGCTACATTTCCGTCTAATGTCATACAATTGTGAATCAATGGGCAACAAAAATGGGTCTTAAGTTGTTATCTTTTTCCACCTCTTTAATCCGAAAGAGGCACGTATCAAAATTAGGCATGTTCACGCATGTTGACTTTGATGATAAATAATGCGACGTGAAATACCTACAATATGTTTTTTTCTGTTTGTCCCTATACTGATAAAGATAATCAAAATGGGACAAGAAACAAAACCACTTACAATGAAAGGTGATGCACATAACTTTGTGAATTGCTTGACACAATGAGCAATAGCTCAAACACTAGCTAGAAACAACATGCATATGGTACCGTTTTAAACATGAAGAACAAAATAAAGATAAAATAAGCAATTCGAGTCCGAAGAAGCAATGCTTTAAATAAGGCGTTTTTATCGTCGTTGTTTGTACCTCAAATAACTAAATCAAACCTTGTATGCAATGCGTACTTATTTTTCTTGAATCATATTTTTTTTAAAAGCTTGTGTCAACACATACTTGAATTTAGTGAGCAATAACTAATTCCTTTGTTTTTGGGTTTTTTTTGCACGCGCGCGTTAACAACTCACATATATATCTCCAGGTGCCGAGTATGCGTTGAATGGAGGAACAACGCCCGGTTTATTTTCTTCAGGTGTCAGAACAGGTTCTGTTAAATTGGATTTATACTTTGTCACATTGTTTTCATTTAGCAGTTCTACATAGTTTAAATCAGACATATTAGGGTATGATAATAAAACTCGGTAGGGGGTCAGTGTCACATGGTCTACGCCGACATCTTCCCAATGTTTTTTTAGTTCCATTGCCAAATTTAAGTTTTCCTCAGTTCCTGCCAAATGCGGGTGCTCTGTTAACATTCTATAAGAAGAAACAAGAGGGGAAAATTAATTATAATATAATTTTTTTACGGCCGATATTCGATATGTACGTGTATGTCAATGTTAGCTGTTTGATACAAAACACTATTTGTTTGTTTTTTTCATTGATAAAAACAATTTTCAAACTTTCATGAAAGATATAGTATTTCCTTACAGTGTTTTTCACCTAATATATCGGAGGCTTATAAAAGGCTTCTTCGCAAAAATGTTCTTTTTTACTTCCCAAATTAGCAGTTTTAACGATAATATTTCAAAAAATCAACATATTAGGCCTCTTTCAAATAATGTAAGAAAGGACACTGCCTTAAAACTACTTATCATGCTATGATACTATCATAGTACTCAATATTTCAGATAATCAAACAATAATTTATCGACATATAAAATGTATACCTTAAATTTTTTCGAATCCTGTCGTTGCTGATGCTGTTCATGAGTTCCTGTGCAATTGTTGGATCGCCATCACTGACCAGCGCTTCTGACACTCCTGGTAAATACAATCCGGGTTTTTCTTCTACTGACTCATCAGGGCAAGTGGCAAACCGACCAATCAAAATACCAATAACAAATGTCACAACGCAGCCAATCGCTGCACTGATCAATAGACATCGTGATTGCTTTTTCCTGTGTACCAAACTTTCAGTGGAGTACATTGTTTTCTACCAAAAAATGATATAATTTTATTTCTATTATTATTATACATGTTCTTTATATGTTTCAATTTAAATCGTATGATTAACTGGACTAGCCTAACATTTTCTTCCAGATATGTCTAGTTTAAGCAAACAATGTATTTAGTTTACCTTGTACTCTCAAGCGTTGCCATGAACAATGTAAGGCTCAAACTAAATAAACCTATAGGTTGAGAGGCAAATATTTTAAATCAGCAGACCACTTCTCTCTATATTTCTACTATACTGGCTGTATAATTTGCAATTTACGAGAAATTGTTTCACTCGTTCTAAACAACTTGTCCGAATTCTCTTCTTGGTGAAATTAAACTGACATCAAAAGACAAATACATGTATAGACAAACAGAAGTACAGTATGTAGTTATATTTACCTTAATTCTTTATTATATCCTGTGTTACCATGTAGAAAGCAAGACATACGTGTATATATTATATGATAGTTAAAATTCGTTGGAATATACAAAGTAATCCAATTCAAGTTTACAAAAACACGTTAGATAAAGCTATTAAGTTACATTGGCATGCTCGTGTCCTGGCATATATTTATATCTTTATCAGTTATTTATATGACCCAGTACATACACTCTTTATTTACGATCAGAACAATATGCTATGAAGAAATTGTTGTGCCATGTTTCATTATGTGACTACTAATCTTAATAAAGAAAAAAAAACAGACCTTAACTGCCTGGTAGATCAGAGAGTTGCTGCGCCAGTAAAATGAATGTAGATCGACACACAAGTGTATAATCAAACACGTGATTTAATATGAACAAATGGCATAGTACAGATAAGGGGAGAGAAATACATCATTAAGTCCGAAACAGGCAAAGTTCCGAATGTATGTAAATACAACACAGTCTGGCGCTACCACTTTCCTTTTCCTCCAAAATGTAAAACCATCATAGGGTACACTGCCCTCCGGTTTTAAGGGGATTATTATGCCCCTGCACTTAAGTGAATCTAGGTCTGAATAATACTACAACAGTCACAGGGATTTTTGGGGATTATTATGCCCCAAAATGCGCAAATCACTCTAGTACAGAACATAGTCATTTAACTTCTTAGATAGGCACCGCTTACGAGCCGGGCGACTAGATACATTGGACTCCGCAAAATATGGAACATCAGTATTAGTTTTCGAATCAGAGCCATTGTCAGTATTACCCTCCTGAGAATCATAAGTAACCAATTCTGGATCATAGTCATTTGAACTGATAATAGGTTTCGGAGGTGGAATCGATATTTCCAACGGGATATCTGGTGTGACGGGCGGAACGTGAAGCATCTCTTGCTTATACCTTTCGCGCTCTTCGTCAGAGTCGAACTCAATCGGGTGTTCTTTCGTAGAAGCTTTGAAATGTGTCGTTACTTTGAAGCAATCGGAACACTTAACACGATTGGAATTGTTTTTTGGTTACCTATAAATTTACGAATATTACACCATGGAAACTCCAAGGGCACTACAATGTATCTTTCTCGAGCATTTGTTTTGTTGACGTCTTTTCGAAGATAAACAATATCGCCTACTTTTAATTCAGGATTAACCGGAGTTTGATTTGAAGGGCATTTTGCTTTTTCACTTTGTACATGATTTGTCGACCTTTGCATTTGTTGAGATGATATTAATTTCTGATCGTCTAATTTGTGTAATTGAGAACTGATCTCTTTGCATCCACATTTCTCTAGAAGATAAGCCTCGTTTGCGAATGCGCGTGTTAAGACAGGCGGTTACTATCGCGAGATTCATGGTGAGTTTGCTCTAAGAATTTCACCCTCCAATTCCTGTATAGCCTTTTCAGCGACCGGGTTTTTGTTGAGATTTTTGGCACGTCCTAACTCTATTGATATATGGTGTCATGCTAACAACTGGTCATCTACCAATGCTTTGAAACCTGGAGCTGGATCGGTTCTAATCACAGCGTACGGACAATCAAGCGGGTGAACATCTGCCAATAATTGTATGATAGCATCCCGTAAGTCATGATGACGCTCACTTTCTAGCAACTTTGTGAATGCAAAAACGAGGTAACACATTCTCGAACTACTAAATTAAATTGACATTCCCGCTTCATTACATCGGCTTCAAAAGCTAATCCAACAGTTTCCGGTGGATCTTCGGAGCTTTGCTCATCCCGCATTTTCGGTGCCTTTGCCAGGGATGTACACTGATGGCAACCTTTAGTGACCATGTCTAATGATTTGTCCATATCCAAAGCATAAAAGTACCTCTGTACGACGGATTTATTTGGCTGACGGAAGGGTGTCCCAACTTTATATGTATAGAGGTCAAAAGTCCATCGAGAACTTGTCGAGGAATCACAATACATTCCTGACTTGGCATAAACGGCAGGCTCCTTTTAACAATAATGAGTCCATCTCGAGAGAGTGAGGCTATGTTTAAGTATCGCTTTATATCTTTTACATTTGTAAGCTTCTTTGAAGGTCTTGTGCCTTGGCGAAGATGCGCAACAGTACGAGGGAGATCAGCACACTCTGATTGAATGGATAATCAAGCCGATTTACTTGTAAACGGACATTTTACGGTTCCATTAAGAACATTCTCAGTAGTAATATGACGCACTACAGATTCTTCCTGCTGACTTATAAACAAACAAATTTGACAGTTTTGATTCGAACATTCGGGTGCGTTTCGGCTAGCGAAATCCGATGGTAAGATTGCTGCTCCAGAAACATGGCGAATTGAAACCTGAAAGCGACTAACGAGGTTTGGTGCACCATTAACCGGTTTAAACTCCCCAGCACTTTTCTGCTGACCGCCCAAGGGGCCCCCCCTTTTTTGGGGGTTTAGATGAAAGTCTTTTGTTTTCAATGTTTTTGGCACGTTGGGTTTCCCTTTTGTTTCTGTCTACGGATTTCTTCCCCAACCCCTTTTTTATTTCTTTGATTAACCCCCGACCCCTTTCCCCTTCCCCCCCCTTCCCCTTTGACGGGGTTTTATTAACTTTTATTTTTTGTTTGATTCCTAACCATTTAAACAAATTTTTATCATTTAGTTTTAACCTGTTTTTTTTGTTTTTGCCCGGCCTGTTTTTGGTTTGGGGCCCCCGGGCCCTTGCCAGTTTTGTTGCGGGCATTGGGGGTTTGGGGCTTGAATCCCATCTTGATCTTTTTTTTTCAACTAGGAAATGTTCCTATTTGTAAAAACACTCTAAACACGTAACCCTCTTGAGGTCTTCAGTGTCTTCTGTTTTTCTCAGAACCAGGCATTCCCATTGCTGAACGTACATAAACTCTTACTAACACGGAACGGAGTTGATACACCACAGTACTTCGTGGAGTCTTTTGACAGTGGGATTTGGTAAAAGGATTTAGTCAAGTCAGTAAATAATTATAAACTTCCAATGCGCAATTTGCCTGAGAGTTGAATCGACATCAGGCCATCAATGACGGTTGAGGTTTGCTATATCTACCAACATCTGGCCAAGGCTGTGACTAGTCGGAAAAGTACCATTCGGTTTCTTTACAAGAAAGGACGGATTCAAATACTCGACTATGATTCCCAACTCCTCGGGGCGTTTAAAAACACCGATACGTTCCAGTTCGTCAAATTTGTCCTGGAGACTAGATAACTGAGATTTTGCATATTGTGGTAATCGTCCTTTTCGATGAGTCGGCTGCACGAGACCCATATTCACCTTCGCTTCCAATGGACCCAATGCACCATTGTAACCTTTAAAGTTTGGATTGAAGACGTCATCATACTTTATAAGTAGCGATTTAAACTGATCTCTCATACCTGTTGACAATAAGTCATCTAGGTCGACACGGACATGATCAGAATGTGTTGACTTTTTCATGTTTGCATTTGTTGAGTTAGGTAGAGCTTTTGATTCAGATTCATTCTCCACAGGACAGTAGGTAGCACGTACGTGACAAAAATGTTCATTTCTTTTAAGAAGCATTGGTTCGTTTGATAAATTCGGTATTCGCAAATTTCCACCAACGCTTAAAACAAAAATGGCTGCGGTCAAGAGTTGTTGTCCGAGTCCCTGGTATGAGGCTTAACCGAAAAGATGTTGTCTGTAGAGCTCATGTCAGTCGGTAAAATAACATCAATAAAGTCTCCGGGCCAGAGCGTAATTGAGGTTGAAGGTACACGTGCGACGTGAGCACGACGAATAGCGTGATTTGGGGCTGAAGTGCTTGGCGAGCCGTAGTAGTATATGTGGTCATTTCCGATAGACACCTCACGACGAGCTGGTCGTGTTGCAACGTCAATTACCTCCATGAATGGAATACCTGCCAAAACATCTGTATCTAAGTGTTCGACAACTAACCCTTCAAAATACAAGTTATGATCATTTTAAAATTTTTTGTCTAAAGAAAGGCTGTAGATTAAGTTCTGTCTCCAGTTTTTAAATGAGTTTACCAATTTTATTTTGGTGGGGACCATTGTTTTTGGGGCCCGGTTAGAAAAGCCTGTCAATTTTTAGGGTTTAAAAAATACGAAACTTTTTTTAAGTCCCCGGTTTACTTTAAAGAAAATTACAATAAGTATTTCCCGCCCCAAAAAAGGATAAACATTTTTAAAAAATTTTTATAACCCGGGTTTGAAAAAAAAACATTTTTTAAAAATTAAAATTTTTGCGCTTTGCTGAAATTTTGTTTTTTGAGGTTGAAGAAATTTCAAAAGTGGTAAAAAGGGGTTCCCATCCCGGGTTTTAAACCCTTTTTTTCGAATACCGTTTTCCGTTTAGTTGGGGTCCCGTTTTTATCTCATTTAAATAAATTTTAAACAAACTATTATTTTAAAATGCATTTCCGAATACCTCCTAAAATTTTTGAAAAAATTTTGGTTTCCCGATTAACATTAAAAAAAAAATCCCACCATTAAATTGAAAAACCAGACAAATTTTGCAATATCCCTAAGTTGATTTTTAAAAATTTCCAAAGCTATTCTTATTTTAAACAACCCCGGGAAAAGCAAAATTTTAAAATTTTAAAAAAAAATGGTTGTCGTTTTTATGATTAAAATTTGAACACATTTTTCTGAATTTTTCATTGTCATTTGTCAAAACATCCAAAAACTTTTTTTTTTGGTTTTTTTTTCATTTTTTGTAAACATTAGCCATAACTTAACCATAACCAGGTTTTACTTTAAATACCCCAAAAGTAACCACACGGAAATAAAATTTTAAAAAACATAAATTTAGAAAAGAAAAAAAATATTTAGGCTTTCAATAAATAAAAAAAGGAGTAAACCCTTTTCGGGAAATTTTTTTTCGAAATTCCCCGAAAAAAGTGTGGGGTTGTTTTTTTATATAATTACCAAAACGTATTTTTGTTATCACCCCTATTTTTTCGAAATTTTTCGAACCAAAGAATTTTATTTCGAAGGTAAAAATTTTCAGTCCCCCAACGTTCGGGGTTTGGACTTTTAAGCATCTGAAAAAAACAATTGTATTAAAGGGTAATAACAGTTTTAAAAAATAAATGACTGTAGTTAGAAAAAGATGATACGACAATGTGAAAAAAAATAATTTAAAATATTTAAAATTAAAAAAGTTTAATTAATTAATTTTTATATTTATTTAAAATTAATATTTATACTTGCTCCTTATTTTTACGGATTAAACACTTTTAACGTGGGAAGCCCAAAAAAAAATTAAATCAAAAACAAAGTTAGTATTTAAAATGAACAAAGGCAAACAATATTTAAAAAAATAATTTTTTTGTAAATACAGTTTGGCCTTTTGAAAGTGGACCTTTAATTTGGAATTGAATCATCATTTTCAAAAAATTTTTATTTATTTATAAAATTTTTAAAAATTAAAAGACTACATGACTTAAACCACAAACGACTTGAATATTAATTAAATAAATATTTTGTTTTTTATGAAAAGGGCAATAAATTTTAAAAACAAGAAATAAAAACACCAAAACTTTTTTTAGTTTTAAAAATATGTCACTGACCCCAAATTTTATAAAAAATTTTGTTTTTAAATAATCAAATAAATGTTTAATGTTAATGTATGTAATTATAGAGAAAACCCGCCAACTCAAGGCCAAAATAAAGCAAAACAAAAGGCTAAACAAAAAACAAATATGACATACATATAGAAAAAGTTTACCTGTAATAAGTGTACTAAGAAGTGCCACAAGTATCTTTGATCAACAATCAGACACC